AACAGAACCATCATCAGAGTGAACAGACAACCTACAGAAGGGGAGACAATTTTTGCAATCTATCTATTTGACAAAGATCTTATATCCAAAAGCTACATGTAACTTAAACAAATTTAAAAGACAAACGCAAACAACACTGTTAAAAAGTGGTGAAGAATATGAACAGACATTTCTTAAAATATCATACACATGCGGCCAACAAATATGTGAAGAAAAGTTCCTTAATAATAAGTGTGTTATTAGAGAAATGCAAATCAAAACCACAATGATATACACGACATACCATGTCATGCCAGTCAGAATGGCTATTATTAAAAAGTCAAAAATCAACAGATGCTGGCAAGGTTGTGGAGAAAAATGAAAACTTTTACACTCTTGGTGGGAGTGTAAATTAGTTTCACAGTGGTTGCATCGTGAAAGACAGTGTTGTGATTTTTCAAAGACCTAGAGGCAGAAATATCATTTGACCTAGCAATCCCATTAGTAGATATATATATATAAAATTCTATTGTATATCAAAGGAATATATATCATTCTATTATAAAGATATATGCATGCATATGTTTATTGCAGCACTACTCACAATAGCAAAGATATGGAATCAACCTAAATGCCCATCAATGATAAACTGAATAAAGAAAATGTGGTACATATACACCATGGAATACTATGCAGCCAGAAAAAGGAATAAGATCATGTCCTCTGCAGGGGCACAGATGAAGTTGGAAGGCATCATCCTTAGCAAACTAATGCAGGAACAGAAAACAAAATACCACATGTTCTCACTTATAAGTATTAGCTGGATGATGAGAACACATGGACACATAGAGGGAAACAACCCACTCGGGCCTCCCAGAGCAGGGAGCCAGGGGAGGCAGAGCTTCAAGAGGAATAACTAATGGATGTTGGGCTTAATACCTAGGTGATGCGATGATCTTTGCAGCAAACTACCATGGCACATGTTTACTTATGTAACAAACCTGCATATCCTGTACATGTACCCCAGAACTTAAAATAAGAGTTGAAAAAAAAAAAGAAAAAGAATTTGCAGACGTACTGAGATCAGGGAATTGAGATCAGGATATCTGAAATCATCTGCCCACCACTGCCCCTAGTGACTCATTTTGGTGGGTGAGGAAGGAGCTATGGGGATGGACAGAAAGTGGGGCTTTTTAAATTAAAGTGGGGCTTTTAAAATTACAGTTTGATGATGAAATGGGGAGGCAAATTGTTCTGATCATGGTCAAGTAGTTTGATCAGACTCACCTTCCCATGGATAGCTCTGTCTAAACTGGAGAAATTACTCACAGGAAAACAGTTCATGGAAGTCAGAGTCATCCACATCAAGTAGATTCTGGAGGTGATGCCTATAAAAAGGAATTGCAAGGAGTAAGGTATTTGAGGGCACAGCTTTTCACCAGCACATGCTCCATGAATGGTTTCTCTTACACTCTTTTACATCTTCATTTTAATATAATTTTCAGGGTAGCTTTGTTCAATAAACACTAAGTATTCTGATTCTATTTTAATATTTGGATAATATAAGTAGTGCTTTTTTTCAGACATGAATGATATTGTATTAATTGTGGTAACATATATGTAACATAAAATTAAATACATTAATCATTTAGGGTATATATTTTAGCACCCGTAATTACATTCAAATTATTATGTAACCAACATCACTGTCTCAAGAACTCTTCATCTTGCAAAACTGAACTTTATATCATTAAACAGTAACTACCCGTCCTCAATTTCCTCCTATTCCTGACAACCACCCATATAACAACCCATAGAAAATTTCTGTATCTATGAACTTGTGTATTCTGGGTACCTTAGATAAGCCAGTCACACAGTATTTTGTATGATTGTGATTGTCTTATTTCACTTTGCATGACTATCTTTAAATTTCATTCCTGGTATAGCATGTGTCAAAATTTACTTTCTTTTAAGGATGAATAATCTTCCATTGTATATTTGCACCACATTACTTCCTCAGTGGTCACTTGTGATGTTTCTACTTTTTGGATATTGTGAATAGTGCTGCTATGAACATGGGTGCAGATATAGCTCTATGATAAGTTACTTTCATTTCTTTCGGCTATGTATCCAGAAGTAGAATTGCTAAATGACATGGTAATTCTCTTTAAAATTTTAAATTCTTTAAAAAAAAAAATACTTATTTGACTACCTAAGAAATTCTGCCAAAAGCAAGAGAGCTGTGAACACCTGAACTATCACAGAATCCTTTCACCACCTCCCACTAATCCAGGGACACCAAGGTTCAGTTTGTCATCATCAGTGGGTTCTGCTATGGAATGCTTTAGAATCACAAGAGTTTACCACGAATCCAGACCTCCAGCAGGATGAAGTTTCTCCAAGTACCCAAATCTCTTCTTGCTTGGAAAATTCTGAGGGCCCTGCAGACACCTTGGCCAGTTGGAAAACACCACACTGCACAGATCACTCAGCTGAGTTCCACCAGGCGTCAGTCCTGTGCCAGCTGAACATGAAACATGTATTGTATTGAAAGAAAATAATCACTAAAAAATAAACACAATAAGAGTTAACAGCACACAACATGGATGAATCTTGAGGACATTATGATAAATGAAATAAACCAGTTACCAAAAGAGAAATACTGTATGATTTCACTTACATGAGGAACTTAGAATAGTTAAAATCATAGAGATAGAAAGTAAAATGATTGCTAAAAGCTGGGGGACAGGGAAATGGGAGTTATTATTCAATGGGTATAAAGTTTCAGTTTTATAAGATAAAAAAGTTACGGAGATGAATGAGCATGGTGGTTGAATAACATTAGAAATTAGAATATATTTAATACCGCTGCCCTTGTATTAGTCCAATTTCACACTGCTATAAAGAAATACCAGAGACTGGGTAATTTACAACAAAAAAAGATTTAATTAACTAAGTTCCATATGGCTGAGAAGGCTGCAGGAAACGTACAATCATGGCAGAAGGCGAAAGGGAAGCAAGGACCTTCTTCACATGGTTGCAGGAGAGAGAAGTGCAAACAGGGGAAATGCCAGATGCTTATAAAGCCGTTAGACCTCATGAGAACTCACTCCCGATGATGTAACAGCATGGGAGAAACCGCCCCCATAATCCAATCACCTCCTTCCCTCTACACGTGGGGATTACAATTCAACGTGAGATTTGGATGGGGAAACACAGCCAAACCATAAAAACACTGTACAGTTAAAAATGTTTAAGATAGCGAATTTTATTTATGTGTATTTTATCTTAGCACAAAATTGGGGGGAAAAAGAGTTAATAGCAAAGTGATTAGCAACTCCAATTTCAGTGAGATAGCATTGGTTCCATTCTGGTCTCTGCACTTGAAATCTGTCTGACCTTGAGCAAGACTCATAACAAAACATCATCTCAGTTATTTGGTGATAAAATGAGTATAACTGTAGTGTGGTAGGCTGAATAATAACCTCATCTCCTCACAAAATATCCTAATCCTAGCAACCTGTGTACCTATAAATGTGTTACTTTACATGGTAAAAGAAACACTCCAAATGTATTATGCTAAGGATATGACATGGGCAAATTACACTAGATTATCCAAGTGGGCCCAATGTAATCACATTGATCCTTCTAAGAGGGAAATAAGAGGATAAGAGTGAATAGTAGAAGATGTGATACCCCAAGCAAAGGACTCATGAGATGAGGAATGTTGGCAGCCTCTAGAAGAAAAAAAAAAAAAAAAAAAAATGCGGGGAAATAAATTCTCTCCTAGAACCTTCAGAAGGAAACAGCCTTACTCAACACCTTGATCTTAGCACAGTGAAACTGATATTGGACCTTCACACTTCAGAACTGTAAGAAAGTCATTTGCATTATTTTAAACCACTAAGTTTGTTCTAATTTGTTATAGTACTCATGGAAACTAACATAAATTTTACATACGTCCTAGGTTTATAAGAAAGATTAACACAAAACATGCAAAATTCCAAAAAGAAATGTAAAGGGAACCAAAAGTTGACTGATGGGGAAAGGTGGTGATGGAGGGAAGATTACAAATTTCAGTAAGGTACTCAATGTATGCCTCATTGAGAAGTTGGCCTTCTGTATAAATGTACAAGAGTGCTTGTTTGTCCATACTTTGACCAATGCTTACATGAACACATTTTCATTTTCCACTCAAGAATGTTTAAAAGATATATAATATATACTTTTTTGTTTTTAAGCTATTTTCATGTTTAATAACCATTTCCATTTTCTTTTCCAATGTGTTCATTAGAATCATTTTCCATGTTTTTATTATATGGGGGTGGTTCCTGGTATATTGTTTACTAGAAAAACATCAAGTTGCAGAAAATATGTGTAGTATGAGCCCAATTTTATAAAGAACCACACTTAATAGCATATGTATTTGTGTGTATATAATATATACAATGAGTGAATATATATTTATGCAGTCATATGTGTATAGATACATATATACATATACGTACATCAATACACTTACATAATAGCTTAAAATGCATGACAAAGTGACTTCCTCTGGAAGATAAGCTCACAAAGAGTAATCACTGATGTCCATTCTCATTTCATAAACTTGAAGATAGAAGGAATGGGAATGGATGACTAGAATTTGATGTGTGTTAGATGTTCAATTGTGTATATTTTGGAGATAAAATGAGGCTAATCACTTCAGGGCCATGGAATTAAATTATCATCACATTAATGATAAGTGTAAAACAACGAGGTATAAATTAGAAAAATAATATAATCTACTGAGGCTTTGCGGAGATCTTGTTCTTGTTTGGGGAGAGAAGAATAACATTCAGAACACATGAGTAGCAATTTGAGAGCATATATTTATACTTGATTCTAAGTTGGAAACATGAAGTAAAAATAATATTTCAAATTTGTATTTAGTGTGGACAGTAACACCTAAGTAAGGGCATGAATTCTGACACTTAATGTTCATTCCTACCTATCACTTATCCTTTTAATATTTCCCTAAAGGTTAGTTTTGCTCTTTGACAGACCTTCTTTCTCAAATCCAAACCTTGAGAAACTCTAGATAACACGCAGCCAAGAAAGCTTCCCTACCCTCTTTCCCTTTGTCCCTCTATGCTTATCATTATGAGGGACAGCATGGCTGATATTCTGTTTCATTTCTTTCTTGCATTATGGACAAAAGAGGAAAAATCTGAGAATGAGCTAGCAATTAGTAACACTTTTCATTCAGAATATTCACAGAAGAAATGAATCTGAATTATGATATGGTAATCATTTTTCTCTGTTTTATAACAAAAACATTAAAAACTCAGCACAAATTATTAGTATGTATGGCAGTCAATAAAAGTAATACAGAATATTAATAATAGCAGATATATTTATGCAATGACCCAAGCAAGTCTCCTTAATGAAGATCGGATGTTCAGTGCATCTTCAGGGAATGGGAAAATGTGATTAGAGGTCAGAAAAGATATCCCTAATATTGGAACTCTCCCTGATTTTAAAAAAATAAAAAAAGACTTGCAGGTGACAAAAGATCAGTAGCCAGGTGACTTAACCTTCTTCAGACAGGAATGAAGCAGATCTGGTATGAAGGTAGCATAGAAACAAGTCCTTTGGCAGTGGGAGTGGCATTGAGGGCCTTTAAATCAGTAAGAGATTTCAGGTTAAAGTTCTGTAAAATGGTAGTCAGGAATAAAAATAGCTCCATGCGGGCAAGTCCTTCTCCAACACAAATCCGTTTTCCTGAAAATAATAAACAGAGATTGTAGTTACTCCTTGTGTGTAACTGTGACTATGACAATCTGTTTATGACTTGCACAAATAGAATATGTAGTAAATATCTGATAAATGATTGAGTGGATAGATAAACGGAAGGATGGATGGATAGATGAGTGGGTGAATGCATGAAACAGATGGATGTATGGATGTTTGTACGGACAAATGAATAAAGAATGAACATACTTGCTATCTTTCTAGCTTCTGATCTTAATAGGCACCCTCCATTCAACAAATATTCCTTGAGTGTCAGCTCCATAACAAGCACTTCATTAGGCATTCCCACATTGTAACAGCTGTTTTGATATTTTGAGTTTCCATCAGCCTTTATAGAAACACTTGTTTCCTGTTCCAAGCCTGATATTCCATGATCTTTCCTCCAACCCTTCACACCCTCTACTCTCAGCTTTAGCCATACACACACTTTATCAATCCACAACGCACCATGAAGTTCAAGTTTTACACCTTTTGGTCAAGGTGTACCTTGGTTATGCTGCACTCAGAACATAGGTCAAGTTTCATTTCCTCTTTACACTCTTTACAGTCCCCTCAAGTAATAATATCTTACACTGTCTAGGTTTCCACAATGTCATATTAATGTTTTCATTGAAGCATGGATCACATATAATCATTATTCCCTATTTATTTATTTTTCTATTGTGCAAAAATGTGAATTCTTGAAGAGAGGTCTCTGACCTTGTCGACTTGGTATCTACAGTGACAAATATAAAGCAGACATCAAAGGTCACAGGATAAAAGAAGGAGATTCCATGGCCAGAGACTCACCACACAAAATGCAGGTGTGAAAATTCAGCATCCAAGATACATGATCATGATTGGAGGAAGTGCAAGATGGTCTGAAATCACAGCAAAGTATCCTACTACATTCCCAATGTTTCTGTAACCCCACGTTGTTTGGCAAAGGTTCTGACATCCTTTATTTAGAGCAAATGTCTTGCCCCGTCGTTTATTACCTCCTTGAAAATGCCAGCTGGGTGCTGTGGCTCATGCCTGTAGTTCCAGCACTTTGGGAGGCAGAGGTGGGTGGAACACTTGAGGCCAGGAGTTCAAGGCCAGCCTGGCCAACATGGTGAAACCCTGTCTCTACTAAAACTACAAAAAAATTAGCCAGGCATGGTGGCATGCACCTGCAGTCCCAGCTATTTGGGAGGCTAAGGCATGAGAATTGCCTGAACCCAGGAGGTGGAGGTTGCAATGAGCTGAGATTGCACCACTGCACTCCAGTCTGAGTGACAGAGTGAGACTCTGTCACACAAAAAAAGTAAAAAGGAAAAGGAAAATGCCATACCTTCTCTTACATTTTCTCTGTCTCCTTTGAGGCAGCTCAGACATCATTTCTGTTATTAGAATGTTGCTTAGCTCATTTTATGCCTCACTGTGAGGCATGAGGAGCAAAAAGCACGCAGGTTCTCCCTCTATTGTCTATCCCCCAGAAGCTTGCGATTTCCTCTCTCATAGCCCTAGTTCTACTGAAGTACAATGATCTGCTTCCCTAACTTGGCAGTGAGACTCTTTATAGTCCATTCTGTGCTTATGGTTATTTCTTGTATCCTCAGAGTTCAGCCTATGGGGTGAGGGACACCATGTGGAAGATAGTCAGTGGAGTTGTAGACTTAGATATCTTCCTCATGGCAGGTGATGAAAGTCTAAATGAGTCTCACCTCCTATGTGGAGCTCTTGGGTACCTCAGTGATGTATCTAGTGACAGAATCCAACCAACCTACACTTCAGTGTTCTCAACTGGGAAGAAAGGGGTTAACTCCCCAAAGCCCCACTAATCTATCCCAATAATGAGGTTGTATTATGAGGGTGGAGCACACGAGGATTGGAAGTGGTGCTCCTGATCATGGACAAAGAGCAATTCTACCAGCCCCGGAGTAGATGCCACATATGTTCCAACAGATTCCCCCAAATTACCTTGTTCCCTAAAGTACAGATGGGAATGAATTTCCATTACCTGCTGAGAAGGGCATGAAGTTTTCACTTTTCTTAAAGTTGCCACTCTCATCCAGAAAGTGGCCAGGGTCAAACACCTCTGGGTTGGGAAATTCTTTGTCATCGTAAAGCACTGAAGTCAGTGATGGCACTATGTTTGTGCCCTGGAAGTAACAGAACAGATAATATGAGTTATAAAGAAGTCCAGAATTGAAAAGAAATAGTGGACATCACATAGTCCAATAGCATTTACCTTTAGATGAGGAAACTAAGGTCTACCCAGACACAGTAATAAACAGAAATGGGTTTAAGGCCAGTGGCAGAATGTTGTTAAAGGGTTTCCCAATCATATCTGAAAATTTAAGTACTTGGGCACTTGGGTGCAAGCTTCTGAATTTGTTCTCCCTATCATCAAGCTTGGGCAAAGGTGTGTATCCTCACTTCCTGATCTAGTTCATCACTTCAGTTTTCACACATCTCATATGTTGAGTATGATTTAAAATAGGAATCTCTGTTGATGCTGGAAATTTCCAGAGTATCTGTTAATAGGACTTCTGTAAGTAAATATTTAATCTACTTTAAAATTATATCTTCTAGGATGACAGCAATAAATACAGTAAGAAGTAAACACCATTGAGGGTTTATCATTAACATGAAGTTTGTTTGTCTTTATTCAAAAATATGCAGAAGCTATTCATTCCAGATTAACTCTAACTTAAATCCACAGAAGGGACAATGAAATTTTAAAAATCATTATTTTTTAACAATTCAGGTCAGAATCATCAGGTCAGGCAAGGATCATCAATTAAAGCTAAAACTACTGGGTGTGAGATTTTGGAAGCAGTATTTTCACACAGTCTTAAAGTACTGTCACAGATTTTTATTAATGACCTACAAAAAAAGCAGAACCTCTGCAATAAAGAGCTCTAGCAATCACCACCTTATTAAACGAGAGACTTAGAATAACCTACAATGGCATATGTAATATTATATGCCCCCACCTGACCAATAACATTCAGTGGGATACTATGTAATTTTCTTGCCAAAATCACAACCAGAATCTAGCTCTATGAAACAGTCACACAAAGCCACCTGAGGAACAGGCTGCTGGTTAAATGATTACTGGCTGAGACTCTTCAAAAAGTCAAGATACTGAAAGGAAACAAAGAAGGGAAAGGGAGTGTCCTTGATTACAAGAGATTACAAACATGTGATAGCTGAATTATGTGCTGTTCCTTGCCTGGATAGCAAATTTCAAAAGAAAAAAAGCCATAAAATAGTCTAGAAAAGTTGATAAATTTAAATACAGGCTGTATATTAATTAATATAATGTTATTATATTAATAACTCCTGGTTGTGAATACTGTTATTATTATATAGAATAAAATTTTTGTTCTTGGGACATATATGCTGAAGTATTGAGGTATAGATAGATCCTAACATTGAGAAATGAAAGTCTCTCTTGGTTGTGTGCTTTAGTGAACACAGAGACAATTCAAGCCCGAACCGTTATAACAAATTGGTGATTAGAGCAAGCGGCAAAACTTCCTAGTAAGTTGCCAATTCTTTCTTTTCCAGACAAGCTTACCAATATCATTGTTTTTCCCATGAAAAGACAACTTTTAGTTATATTATTTTTAATTTAATGATAATAATAAGTGGAATAGAGTAAGCTTATGGCATTGTAACTATAAACCAATACAGAAACTATATGATAGAAGGCATTACAGAGCTAAAAAGACAAAATTTTGTCCCAAGATTCCAGTGATAGTAGACCCTCAGAGAGCTAAGCTAATATCTGCAGTGATTTTTCAACTGTGTTCACATCAGTTCTGAATCAGGACAGGAGGTAAGTTATTCTGACTGCCTATGGGAGAGGAATGAATCTATTCTGGAAGAAGATAAACATCCACTGAAATTCTGCATTTCTTCATATATAATATCTGGTAGTTAGCCATAAGTTTTAAGTATTTCAAGGATACAACTGAGTGATCACAAAAAGAAAGTAGAAGAAAGGGAAGACAACAAAAACAGACCCACATTACGGAATCATTTTCAAGAAGTTTTATGCACCCAACATTACCTTGATTTTAAAACCCTGAAAAGAAAATTTTGAGGGAGAAGAACTGAAGACCAACTCTCTTGTAAATAAAAATACAGAAGTCCTGAACAGTATGTAGAAGATTAAATCCAGTTGCTCATGTATACTTATGTATATTTAGTGAGGATAGTGAGGCCAATATATAAAATCATACAAACACATTCAGGGAATCAATTTCATAAAATTGTACACATGTTCATCACAAAAATGTATATACAAATAAGACAAGAGGGAAAACTTCCCTAATCTGATAAGGAATATCTACCAAAATCTACTGAAAGCACCATTCTCAATAGTGAAACATTAAACCTCCACCCCTCCCTGCAGATCAGAAATGAAACAAAGATGACTTCTATCATCAATTCTGTTCAACACTATTCTGTTCTGTTTAACACTATTCTGAATATCCTAGCCAGTGCAATAATGCAATAAAGATAAATTAAGGACACAAGAACTGGAAAATAGTAAATAAATAAAATAAATATTAACCCAGGTAGCAGAATAAGGTACATGGAAATTCCAAATGCATCTGCAGACAAAAAATGATTAGTAGTTTGTGATGATTAGTAAATTTAGCAAAGGTGCTAGATATAATGTCATCAGAATGATAAAATATATTTCCAAATACTGGGTACAAAGAAATGAAAAAGGCACTTTATTTATAAAAACAACAAAACATTATTTATCTAGGAAAAATTCAGCAGAAGAGTTGCAAGTCAGTGCACTGAAAACTAAACATTACTGAGAAAATAGAAGAAAGCCAATAAATTGAGAGCATAATCATATTCATGAATTGAAAGTTTCAACACATTAAGATGGTCTTTCCAAATTGAACTGTAGATTTAATGTAATCCTGATAAAAATCCCAAAAGAGTGTTTGGGAAATTGACACCAATATTTTCAACAATTATTTGAAAGTATAAACACAGAGTAGCCCAAACAATATTAAAGATATATATTATACAATTTTATAAATATAGTCCCAAAAGAAATAGCAGAAAGTCCATCAAGCCACCACATGTATAAGCTTTGTACTTCTCTCATCTTGTGTTGGTAGAGGATTGGAACCACACTGGGAATTTGAGAATTTCAAAAGCACAGAAGTACGGTGTAGGAGAAACAAGTTTACCTTAGGGATGAAGTAGTTTCTGAATTTAATGTCAGAGGTCACTGTATGAAGCAAGCCATTGGGGATAAGGTCAATGTATCTCTGGATCTCATGCAATACAGCATCGGTGTAAGGCATGTGGCTTCTGTCCTGCATGCAGGGGCTCCTGTGTCTGCCAATTACACGGTCAATCTCTTCCTGGACTTTAGCTGATAAGACACAAGTAAGAGCTGATGAAGAAAGAAGATATGTGGCACATTTGTCATAGCAGTGAATGGCTCATAAGCCATCAGGTAGGGGTCCCAACAGCATTACAAACACGATTACATGCCCAGAACCATATAGAGAATTGCCAGAGTATGGCTACATACCAGTCTCCTACAAAGTAAGCATCACAATGCATAAGCACGCTCCTATAAATTAGTATACATGACAATTCATAAAAACATAAGTTATTTCAAAAATAAACAACATAAGTCAAGAAATTACAGTGCTCACAAAAAGAAAAACAGAAATTCAGTATTACATGTATACCAACATAATATATGGGGTTCAAAATTAAACTAATTTTGAACAGTTTAATTTGAACAATTCAAATTGAATTTGAAATTCAAACAATTCGGTTTGAATTTTGAAGAATTCAAAACTGTAATTTTGAATGAATTTATATATATATATGTATGTGTTTTTGTGTGTTTGTGTAGGAAGGAGGTGTGCGATTAGCTGTGGTACTCTCTTCATTCTTACACTTCCCAAATGTGGCCACTCTGAGCATGCTAGCACTTTCTTCTGAAATTTATATTTATATTTCTAAATGATGACTCTCTGTTTCTATTGTTTTCCTTAACAATTTTTAGACAATATTTAATGGTTTACTGGTATGGGAGATAATAATTTTCATCTCTGTCTTCACCCCATATATAGACACACATCCACAAACTGATATGTACACACACACACATATACACATAAACACACACACAATTCTCCTCCCTCTATTTACCAGAATACCTTAGGCCATAATTTCTGGTTATATCAATATTCATTCTTTACATATTTCTACTACATATTTACTCTTTCTTGGTAAGACAATGATAATATGATTACATTTCGTACTTGGTACTTTCTTGGATTTAACAGTGTCTTTTTACATAAATCATAGTTTTCCATTTTCAAGTTAGAATTGTTTCCAAATGCTCAGGCAGATGTTTCAAACTCCTAGTAATAATTTACAAATCATAGAGAAACCTCAGACTGTTGCTCTCCTCTCTTTGGTCCTTGATGTCTCCTCCCACACCTGTGTTATCCACCTGGTCCATTCGGAAGTGGTTGTTTTCTAGGCCTGGTGCCAAGCAGCCTCCCTGACACTCTCATTCTCCTACATGAGATTTCCTAATTCCTGGAGCTCATGACTTCTGACATGGTTTCTGACATTTGGATGGAACACAACCTGTATTATTAAAGAAAGGGTAAAGTTTGTGGCAAACATTCAAGTCTCAAAATAGCCTTTTTCTATTAATATACAAGGTAATACTTATGCTTGAGAATTCTGGTACTGTCTGAATGTTAATCATTTATATATGACCTGATATATCTCTCTGAAAGGTTTTGATTTTCCCTTTAATCCTGGTGTTCTGAAATTCCATGACCCCCTGTCTTGGAGTGGATGTTTTTGTTTCATTCCCTCTAGTGAACATTTGTGGATGAGGTGATATTCAGATACCAAAATACAGAGGTCTTTCCTAGACCTTTGTATTTGGGGAGCTGTTTCCTCTCTGAAGAATACATCTGGCTGATAAATTTCAAGAAGGAAGAGGGTGAACAATTTGAGTCCCTGAATTCAAGGAGGAAACCCTTTCTGTACCTTTCTTTTGAGCCCTACACCTCACACTTTCCTGTCGCTGCCTAGCGTCCCTGAGTACAGAGCTTCTTAGGCTCAGTTACTCTAGAGAACGAGCCTCCCTTTTCCTGTGGGGGGAAATCAGTTACCTGAAAAAAGGAGCTGTGGAGGAAACCTGGGTGAGAGAGCCTCCTTTTTCAACCTCACTCCCTACCTTCTCTGACCCTCGATACCTCCTATACTGAACCCTATGGTATTGTAGTGATACAGATTAGTGTTTCCTTGTGATAAATTGTCCTCTTCTAACATTTATCAGTTAACTTCTGATATTGAAGTTAAGTTACAACTTCATCCTCTGTGCTGAGTTCATTATCACCCCTCTAACTGCTCGCCGTGTTTCAGAAATTTGTCAAAGACTAGTTGGCTGTTGCCTGTTCTTCTCGCTTTTTATTAAAAGGCTAATTCTGATTTCTAATTAGGTTATTGAAATTTCAGTGACATCCTGACACAGGGACAAAAAGTATGTTATCTGCTGCAAAACCAAAGCTCTTTAAATATAAATTCTAAAGAAAGGTGGAATTTACTCTAGAGGTAAATTCTAAATTCTAAATAAAAGTTGCTTGCAAAAGATAAAATTATTAACCCTCCTTCAAAAAATTCCTATTTTGGCAAACAGCAGTTTTATGAAACATACTTCTGGAATAATAAAATTCCTTAAGTGCATCCTCTGCCTAAATGAAAACACCTTTCCTTTTTTTAATTTTTTTTATTTTTTATTTTTTATTTTTTTTTTTTTTTGAGATGGAATTTCGCTCTTGTTGCCCAGGTTGGAGTGCAACGGCACGATCTTGGCTCACCGCAACCTCCGCCTCCTGGGTTCAAGTGATTCCCCTATCTCAGTGTCCCGAATAGCTGGGATTACAGACATGCGCCACCATGCCCAGCTAATTTTGTATTTTTAGTAGAGACGGGTTTTCTGGTCTCAAACTCCCAACCTCAAGCGATCCGCTCACCTCAGCCTCCCAAAGTGCTGGGATTACAAGCGTGAGCCACTGCACCCGGCCCAAAACACCTTTTTTATTAGTCTAACTTTTTAGATTACTTCCTAGACTGAAATTTACCTCAGGAAGTCTCACTAAAATGATAGGATTTCCACTTTTGCTTCAGGAAAGAGAGTTTTCATTTTCCTACCCTAGCATTAGAGCATGGAATAAAAAAAAAAAAAAAAAAAAGAATGAGAAAAGGATATCTTCAATAATGTACCTACTGTTCAAAGTGGACTTCTGTAATAAAACCAACATTCAGTCTCAGGCCAATTTATGCTGGCTCTGCTTACCACAAATTACCTCCACTGAAATCCTGACACCACCAGAGCTCTATTGCTTTTGCTACTGTCACACTATTTTACTGCTCTCAGTCTCTTCCTCCATTGTGCAAAGACGTCTTTCTTAATCATGTCATTAAATTTAGACTGATTACAGCTAGTGACAGAGAAGTTTAAAAAATGAAGCTTCTTTAAGAGAAACAGGGTGGAGGACACTGGCACCATCTTCTCAGCATTGTTCTGAAACTCACTTTGTTCATCATCTGTGGTCCTACCTGTGACCTCTGGGTGCTTCAGAAGGAGCAGGAGTCCATATCTCAGAGTGGTGCTTGTTGTGTGTGTTCCAGCAACAAATAGGTCAAATACAGTGCTAACCAAGTTTTCAACAGTGAATTCAGACTGTTGGTTGTCCTTCTCCTAGAAATAATTTCATGCAATTATCTGACAAATTATGTGCCAGCATATTTAATTACACTGGATTTTTTGAAACTCATGTTATAAAATTAGACAAAAAAAGAGACTGGAGAGTACAGTATTAGACAAAACAATGGTACGGTATGGTATGGTATGGTATGGTATGGTATGGTATGGTATGGTATGGTATGGTATGGCAGAAACAGTGTATCAGTTGACCCAAACTTCATTTCCTGCCCTGTTTTCCCAGCTTGCCCATGAATTCCATTCATGAAACTCTTTGCTGCTTAGGTTAGCCACACATCATATTATTTTTCCAAATATATATATGCAGAAGCATTTTGGTGCACTGTCTTTGTACAATTTGTGTTATATAACAGAATATTACAGACTAGGAACTTTATAAAGAAAATAAATTTGTTTCTCATGGTTCTGAAGCCTGGGAAGGTCAGGAGCATTGCACTGGCCTCTGGCAATGGCCTTCATGCTGTGTCATTACATGGCAAAAGGTAGAAAGGCACGGAAGGGTAAGTGAGTGAGCCAGAGAAGGCCAAACAATTTTATTAGGCTCCACCTAATAAACTGGCATTCAGTTTTTACACATGAACTTGAGGGGATACATTCAAACCATAGTATGAGTCTTCTATTTACTCCTTCTTACTCAAGAGACAGATGTGAAGGAGGTGTTAGGATAAACATCATCTTGGGACATGACTACTTAATCATAAAAATGCAGCACACCAACATGGCACAAGTATACATATGTAACAAACCTGCACGTTATGCACATGTACCCTACAACTTAAAGTATAATAATAATAAATAAATTTTTAAAAAAAAGAAAAATATATATATATATCAACACTGAAAAAAAAAAAATGAAGGCTTCTTATATGATTTGGATCTGCGTTCCTACCCAAATGTCATGTTGAATTGTAATCCCCAATGTTGAAGGTAGGACCTGGTGGGAAGTGATTGGATCATGGAGGCAGATTTCTCACTTGGTACTATGTCACAATAGTGAGTGAGTTGACATAAGATCTGGTTGTTTAAAAGTGTGTGGCACCTCCCCTTTTTCTCTCTATTCCAGCTATGTAAGACATGCCTGCTTCCCCTTCACCTTCTGCCATAATTGTAAGCTTCCTGAGGCCTCCCTAGAAGCCAAGCAGATGCTGCCATGCTTCCTGTACAATCTATGAAACCATAAGTCTGTTAAAACACTTCTCTTTATAAATGATCCAGTATCAGATATTTCTTTATAGCAATGCAAGAATGGGTTAATACAGCTTCAATACTAAATATGGTGAAAATAATATAAAACACTTGGCTCTATGATGCTTCAGGAATACCATATTATTTCTACTTTGACCCACCATAAAACTATTTGTATTTGAGATAAAGAAATCCACTGTTTAGTTAAGCCATTATTTACTATTTTTTCTTATTAGTAAATGAATATAATTTTAGTTGATAAAAATAGGTAATTTAGGTCCATATCATGGAAGGTGTTACAAGCCTGAATCATGAGTTTGCAATTGTCTTCTTCTGTCAAAAATTTACATAGGCTCAATATTGCCTACAGACTCATTGTGAAGCTAAAATTGTGCATAAACACTAATGTGATGACAAAACCTAGAATGAAATATAGTGAAAGGGACACAATTCACAAAGACAAGATTAGGACAGCAAAATTATAATCCAGATAGAAGGCAACCTGCAACTTTTTCTAGGGAACAAGTACAGAAACGAATAGGAATATAAAAAGTGAAGAGAAATGGCAATCATTAAGACAGAGATTTGAGGCACCACCTGCCCATAAAGGGTAAAGAAGAAGAGAGTAGGGATAATGCAGATAGATGCCAAGGCTAAGGGACTAACTGAATGAAGTGCTCATTAGTTGAAAGTCAAGATAGAGAAAGTAATTGGCAAAGATAAGTAGTTTCTTTTAGGACTGAGATGATATGACACAGAATTGACAATAAGGAGGCCGTCTTTAATATTGAGTACAGGGAATCATAAATATACCAATATATTATTTTCTAACCAATCCCTAGGCCAGCCTTAATTTGATAATATTTTTATAATCTACAGGTGACATGTGACATGTCCAATATTATGTAATAAACACCATTAAGATAAAACAAATACTCCCAAAACCTGTACTTGCTAGACAAAGATAGTCATCTCCCTTGGTACCAACAGCTTCACGGTTTTCTAAACTCATGAAGGTAAAGTTACTTTTAAGTCAGGGCCAGGCACAGTGGCTCACGCCTGTAATCACAGCATTTTAGGAGGTTGAGGCAGGTGGATCACTCAAGGTCAGGAATTCAAGATCAGCCTGGCCAATATGGTGAAATCCCATTTCTACATTTTTTAAAAATACCCAGGCAGGGTGGCAGGCACCTGTAATCCCACCTACTCAGGAGGCTGAGGAAGGGTAATCACTTGAACCCAAGAGGCAGAAGCTGCAGGGAACCAAGATCATACCACTGCACTCCAGCCTGGCAACAGAGCCAGATTATGTCTCAAAAAAATTACTTTTAGTAAGAAAAGCATTATGCTCATAAACTAATATTAATATGTCAATTCTGTTGAAGTGAATTTGGAGATTTTCAGGTAATATGCACATAGCCTATAATAATTAAGCTAGACTATACAAAACAATGTTTGAAGAAATTAAGAAAATCTAAATACATGGAAGGATATTTATTTCATAGATTGAAATGCTAATATTCTTATGGTGGCATTACTGGGGTAATGTCATAATTATTGGGAAGTTCAGGAATCAATGGCTGCACTAAAGCAACCATTGACCCTGCATAATCTGTCTGAAGAAATTATTTTGGGACTCTAAAGCCTAGTCAAACAATTGTGGCACCCAGGGAAGTAAGGGATACAGAAAGCAACTGGTAAGTTTCAGTAAATTTGGCATCTTTCATAGAGGCTAACATCCCTTATAGCTGTTACATGGCAATTTGGGGAACAGTGTACTGTGTGGCCGGTGCAGTTTCTTGGTTCCAAACTGGACAATAGAAACATTTTCCTTCAAAAATCGGGGTTGTATTGTTTGATTGCTGATGAAATAGTACAGAGGCTGGCCAATGTTTCAATCCCCACGGGCTCAAGCGACTTCCCCAGTGACATTACATGTGATGAATTAAACAGAAAAAACTTTTCTCTTTTATTTTCTGTCCTTTTGATGCTTAATCCAGGGACTTAAGAAAACCTTTGTCAGATCATTACCTGACTGTAGAAATAACAGTACAATGACTTAAGCGATCACATAAGACAAAAAATACAGTCTTTGCAATAATAGTTTGGAAAAGTCACTAAACAAATTGATGACTGAAGCATTCATCAAGCAACATAAGCAATGGCTAGACGATGAAAACATCTTATTTTCAGGTTTAATGCCTTACAATATGTGAAATGCCTACTTCTCAACAAAAATTACGTAGCATATAAAGAATCAAGTAATATGGTGCATTAGCAACTAAAAAAGGAATTTGACAGAAACCATCCCAGAGGAAGCCCAGACATTGGACTTACTAAAAAAATATTTAAATATCTTACATTTCCTCAGAGAGCTGAAGAAAATGATGTACAAGGAATGATGTAAGAGAAATTTTCAGGGAAATTACTAAGAAACAAACAAAATATACCAGGAAAGAAGTCAAGAAGGAATCAAAAGTTTCAGTAGATAAAAAATGATCAGACAAAAATAGGGCAATATTGTGGGAATTGAGGGAAAAATAAAGATATAAAACAAATTTAAAATAGCATCATAGCAGAAGTAAGTCCTTTGATGTAGCTTATCACTTTCATTGTAAATGGAAATACTAAGGGCACATAGCATGGACTGAATTTGCCATTTAAAGTACAGGTCTGGAAGGAATGGGCTCTTTAATAGAAAGTTATATGCTGTCTATAAGAGGCTCACCTTATACCAAAAGAAACAATAATCCTGAAAGCAAAAAATAAAAAACTATTTTCCATGCAAATTTTGGCTGAAGCAAGATGGAATGGCTATATTAATACCACAAAAAGATTTTGTGCTAAAATTCTTAAGATAAGCAAATAAAGGTATTTTCTATTGGAATCAAGGATGAATTCATCACAAAGATATAAAATTATTAATGTGTGTGCACCAATCAATACAGGTCCAAAATATGTGACACAAAATTTGGCAGCATTGAAGGGACAAATAGATTTCACACAAAAATAGTGAGAAGTTTCAGTACCAAATTTTTGCTAATAAAACATCTAGACAAAAGATTAATGGGAAACAGAAGACTTGAACAACACTAGATATTACTATACCTGACAAACATATAGAGAATATTTTATTCAACAACAGTAGTATATACAACTTCTCAAGTGCAACTTTCTCCAGGTAGAAAATAAACACTTTTGAATAATTTTTAAGACCCAAATCATACAAAATATCTTCTCAAGCCACAACATAATGGACTTAGAAATCAGTAACAGGAAGAAAATTAAACATCAAACAACATGGTGTTTAACAACCAGTGTGTTAAAGAAAAAAAATTATTAGGGAAATTAGAAAATATTGAGAGATAAATGAAAATAAACACTAAATTATCAAAATAATGATACACAACAAAAGAAGTTCTTGGAAGAAAATTTACAGCAGTAGACATCTACATTTAAAAAGAAACAAGTGCTTGAATCAACATAACTTTACAACCTAGGAACTAGCAAAAGAATATCAAACTAAACTCAAAGACAATAAATGGAAGCAGAGATAAATGAAAAAAGAGAGTTAAGTCCAATAGATCCTGGCAATACAACAAACAATGACACCAAATATTGGTTCTCTGAAAAGATCAACAAAATTGACAAATGTCTAGCAAGACAGACTAAATAAAAAGAGAAGACACCAATAACTAAACTAAAAAATGAGAGCAGGGACATTACCACTAAAGCCTCTCTTTATTTAGGTCATCTAATTTATTGGTGTACAATTGTTTATAGTAATCTTT